GAATTCGATATAACGATGGTTTACAAGTCTGGCCAGAAACACACCGACGCTGACTGTCTTTCCTGCGCACCCGTCGAGGTCGCTGCAGAACACAAGATGAAGACTTCAGCTGCCATGCTATTCTCGCATCATTAAACGTGGCTGAGCAGCACCGAAGACTTAGAATTACAACCACTGATCAAATACTTTGACGGACGTCGCACACAACCCCCCCGTCAGTTCGCACATGATTTGTCATCTTTCTGTCTACGCCAAGACATTCTCTACAAGCGCAACTTTCATCCAACGAAAACTGTTTACCTCCTCGTCATTCCTGCTGCTTTCCGCGATGATATTTTGCGTGCTTGTCACGACGAGCCATCGTCGGGGCATCTTGGCTTCGCGCGTACTCTGGCGCAGATCAAGAACAAGTACTACTGGCGGAAACTTACGAAAACCGTACGGCAGTACGTCAAGACATGCACAGCCTATCAGCGGCGTAAAAATCCAACTACGAAACCAGCCGGTCTGCTTCAGCCTTTGCGACCCCCTCACCCACCTTTTCAAAAGGTCGGGATGGATTTACTCGGCCCATTTCCGAAGTCTACGGCTGGTAACCGCTGGATTGTGGTTGCCACCGACTACTTGACCAGATACTGCGAAACACAAGCCGCCCAGCGAGCAACTGCTTCCGAGATGGCTGACTTTTTCATCAAGAATATCGTTCTCCGCCAGTGCTCCCGCTGTCGTCATCACAGATCGTGGTACTGCTTTTACGGCACAGTTGCTCCAAGAGATCCTGTTGCTGAGGGGCACAATGCACCGAACAGCAACTGCGTACCACCCACAGACTAACGGGTTAACCGAACGCCTTAACAAAACGATTGCAGATATGCTTTCGATGTATGTCGCCATGGATCAGAAGGATTGGGATGAAATCATCCCGTATATAACATTTGCCTACAGTACGGCTCTGCAGAAAACCACCAGCTTTGCTCCTTTTCGTCTGGTTTACGGCCGCGACGTCACCACAATGCTTGACACCATGCTGCAACCAACTCTGCCGGACACAATTACCACGGACACAGATGCCTTTGTTCAGCGTGCCGAAGACGCCTGGCAGCAGGCGCGCTTTCGCATTTTATCGCGGCAAAATCCAGATGCTCGCCGGTACAACACCCACCACAGAGCAGTAATATACAATCCCCGTGACGTAGTCTGGGTTTGGACTCCTATACGTTAACGTGGACGCTCAGAAAAATTGTTATGTCGGTACTTCGGGCCCTACCGAGTTCTTCATCGCCTCGGCGAAGTGAACTACGAAGTTGTCCCAGCAGACACATCACACCGTTCTTGTAGACCACGCTCCTCGGATGTGGTTCACGTCTCCAGGATGAAGCCTTACTACTTGCGTTGACTGCAAGTCAAAAACTTTGTGATGTGGCAATACCCCTTCAAGACAATTGTACATTTCTTTCTTGCTTCTTTATTTTTCATCTCGTCCTTTTTCTTTTCAATGGACACAGACATTTTTTACTACCTTTCGTTTTTTTTTCGGAGCTGCGGCATTCATGCGATGCTTCTTTTTTTTTTTTTTCTTTGGGGAGAGGGTAATGCCACGCTGTGTTGGTGGCAGAAGACGAGAGCGAAGAAGTGAATGGCAGCTGTGGCTGAGTAAACAGTCTTCCACTTCGAGTTCCTATCGTTTCCTCTCACGACAATATCATTTTCTGCAGAGTTGACACTCGTTCAATGCGGCTCTTTCAAAACTATTGCACCGACCTTACAGCCAGGCCACGCACGGCCGAGAGAACTGTCCTCCTCACACAGTCAGCGCAGAGGATTGAGGAAGTTCTCAGCGGGTCACATGACCGAGAAGTGGCGCCACGGTGCAAAGCGATTTCCTTCTCACGACGGCAATGACTGCGTCTCCGCTGCTACCCTCTACACTGAGAAAGGAAGACTCCCCGCGACAGCCTTGCTTTTTTTTTTTCCTCTCTCTCTCTCCATGTGCTGCCTAAAAAAGTCAAGAGTCTCTACGTGCAGATACGAAAAAGGGAGAAGCGTGGCACGGGCACATCGCAGATCGGCATTTGAGAGAGAGCAAACAATCCACTACAGTCTTTTCTTTCCTTTTCTTCTTTTCCTTCTTCATGCGCAGCATTGAGAGGTGCCACCGTGGGATTGGGCATGGTGCTGAGAGCATTTTCGGAGCGTGGTATGTTCGAATTAACTGTTGCAAGGGCTCGTTTGAATTACAGGGCGTTTTCGCCCATTGGAATACACGTAGCTTTGACAGGACCTCAGTGTGAGTTCGAATTAACCGGAAGTTTAAATTAAGCGTGTTCAAATTAATGAGGTTCGACTGTGTTTATTTTCCGTTGCACCCGTAGTCGCGTAGCGGTACATCGGGCCGGGAGGCGGTTTCCTTCTTTGCATGCTTATAGGTGTGCGCCCATCTGAGCATACATTGCCACAAACTGCTATAATTGATATAACGAAATAATCGATATAACGAAATAATTGTGGCTCCCCTTCAACTTCATTATAACGAGGTTTCAGTGTATACAGTAATTTGGAATAAAATCTGGTATACGCTCCAAGCATGGTCTAGCACATAAGAAGCATAAACAGAAGCTTTCAACTTATAATTGAAACTATTGTTGGAAGTAACAAGAGTATTTCATCTGAAAGGCCAATGTTATCCCAGATTAGTTCTATGTATAGTTGCAATCAGCAATCGTAACTGGTTTTTGATTGCCTTTCACAAACATTCTTGACACATTCAAAGCCATCTCCGAAGTGCACATGAAAAAGTTAACCCAAAAGTGCCCTTGACTGAAGTTGATTTCTGAACTTCACATTTATTAACAAGTTGGCCTTGTACTATACAATTAGTCATAATTAATTCAAACTCAAGGGCAACTGCAAATTGTTTGAATAAAACTGAGCACATACTAATGACAGCCCCTTTAAGTACAGCACTTGTTGAGTTTTGTTAAACCACTTAATACAGTATAGACTACTTCAAGCCTAAGTTGCAGCAGTCACAAATATTCGCACTATGCCCAAAACAATCTTTTTCAAAGGCTGCAATTGTGCAAAATGAGCTGAACAAGCAGCCTTGTGTGCCCATGAATCTAAGTATGCGATGCATGGTGCTTACAACATTTTAAATTTTTGTATGTTAAAAAAAATTTAATGTTAAAAGACCTGTGTTGCAAAATAAACATGAAAAAAAAATGGGGGTCTAACAATAGAAAAAACCATTGAGAAAATTTGCCAACTGCTTCTCACACTGCCTCGGTTATGCACATTACACAGAATATCGAATCACATTCAGAATTTCATGCTCTGAAAGATGTCAATCGTTCAATTTCATGGGCACGCACCTGAATTCAAGACGTCGCAAGTGAATCACGAACCACCATTCGAGCGCTACACATGCCACCCTTGTTTTCATTAACAATGAGTGTCCCTTCACATCAATTGCAGCCACCACAAAGAGTTTTGTTGATTCCGTACTTAACCACAATTTATATTGCCCGCGACTGCTACTGAAATGCAACCACAAATTAGGCCTAGCCTGCCATTCGGTATGTTGTTGCGGGAAGGTTGTCCAGAAGATCGGGCGTCAAAAAAGCCGCACTAAAGCCCTGAACCAAGAACAGCGTGCATGATACGAATTCCACTTTTGCGGCCGGGAAATCGATGACTAAAACCCGCCAAGCTTGCGTAAGACAGAGCCCTGGCAGCAAAGGGAAAAGCTCGTGTCATAAAGCCGTAAAAGGTTTTAAATTTATAGAAGAGGTAGCAAACGCAATATCTGATGCAAGCGCAATAACGACAACCCTTTTCCTGACAGCAAACTATTCAGCTTCATAATGGTGTAATAGTAGTAATCAGTACCAACTAAAGATAAAGACGTGATTGCACGTGCCATGTTAAACCGCCCGAGGCCGGAGTAATGCTAGCGACACTAATATATACTGTATAACTGCATCGGCGCCAGTGCAAAGGCTTATCTGTTGCCGAGGCAACCACCCTCCTCCCGTACTCTGCGAGCCTGCGCGTGCCGTTCTTTTTCTTCCCACTGTCCTTTGTTCATTCACTCCACGTTCCCCCCTCCTCCTTCGTAACAACCTTGACGCTTGCTCCCCAGCGACGCATACAGCGCGCCTTCTTTTTGACACGCACTCGCTACCACGATTGTCTTAAAGATTTTCCGGCAGCCCCATTATAATGGTCTTTCATCCTGGGGGACTGCCCGATAAGCGGTATGCATACATATAGATTTTTATGGGAGGGTAAACGGGAGTTGAGTCGACAACAGGAGCCCACATTGTAACTGGCTCTGCACTGTAAGCAGTTACACTTTAAGTGGTCTACACTGTCGCCCAGGCCTAGTCACACTTTCAGAGAAACACAGCCTGCACTGTCATTGCCATCACCACAAAGAGCTGTGAGCACGTATCAGCTAATGGGGGAGTCATTCAGATCAGAGTGTGTTGTGGCAGAGAGGAAGGAAGCATATGCACAGAAAAGGGGTATGGGTGCAGGAGAGCTTGCATTTCCTCCTCTGATCTGCTTGGAAAGTGTGTTAACAGATGATGTTACATGGAGGCAGGAGTAATGCCAGAACCAGCTTGTCCGTGCCGGCTACATGTGGTGAGGGTCATAGCAGCTGAGTACCACATTAGTGGCTCCCGTGTTGCAGATAATCTGCAGCAGGCAAACCATTGTTCACTTTGTGTGTGCTGTCTTCTAACACACCTAGTGATGGCAGTCGCATTATGTTGAAGTTTCAGAGATGCACTGGAGTGAGAGGATGCAAATTTTTTCAAGTTTTGTTCAAAAAGGTCATTGGGTGGCTCTTTAAGTTCGCACTTACAAGAGCTTTTTTTCTAAACAACTAGTAGATTCAACGTCAGCTCTAGTCATGATATTCGAATTATATGTCAGTTGAAATTAGGAGCTTTCAAAATATTGAGATTCAAGAGTAACAACATTTTAGCACTTACTCGTGTGTCCTCCTCACGTACATCCAGGGTGGCTTCAAAGGTATGCACTTGCTCATTGTTAGGGACACATGTGCTGACAGAGCTGAGCGGGGTTGACCCTCCTACACTTCCTGAAGGATGCCGTGGCATTCTCCGAAATGCAGCAGCAAAGCTCTGCAACACCCTACGAGCAGAAAGACAATTCCGCCTTTATTAACTAACACTTAATGTTGGTGTGTTATAGATTAGTGCATCCATCAAGACGTATCACTCAGTAAAATTATATCCCAACATTTGTATTAATGTAACCACTGAGATTTTTAGAGAAAGAGAACAAAACACCATATGCATTGAACATCAATTACAACATTTTTGGCACAATTTAGCCTCATCCTCATAATGCAATAACGATGCCTGAATCTAAGCATACTTAATACCACTGACACTAGAATAGACTTTTGATAATTCAACCCTGGTTCATTTGATCCCAACTGATGGTCATGGCAACATGGACGCATTACTATGAGAGCAAGGTTTCATTTTGAGAGCGAAGCTCTGAAAGCTTACGGTAAAATGTCGGTGTCTGCAAAAAATCCTCTGCGTTATAGATTATCACACACCTTCCTTATCAACCACGCCCACTGACGGATATAGTCTGCGCAACCACTTCACCGAGTTTACCTGCCGTTCAAGCCAAGTACGAATGATGAAAAACCCACAATTATACTAAGGGTGTCACCGCCAGCTTTGTATGCCAGTCCTGGTGCTAGAGTTTGGATATTCTTGCACGGTCTGCAACTGGCTGTGGTTCTACTCTACGCTTTCTATGCCAAGTAAAAACCTAGCATCAGCCAAGAAGGCCACGCTAAGCTCTTAAGATCAACCAACTTTGCTATTTCTCAAGCTTTACACTGCTAATGTAAACTTTTTTTTTACTACTGAAATTAGTCTAAGCCAGATAATTTTAATGGGGGTAGGTCATCTAACATGCACTTACCAAATTGTTACTGCAGTAATAATTAGGAAAGCAGCAGCATTTCACTGCAGTGCTTAAGCTGCAGTGAATGCATTTACCCGTAATTTCCTGTCAAAATTACCCATTATCAAATTGTTTGAGAAATATTTTATCATCAAAATAATAGCTCACAATAAATTAATGTGGCATTTATCCACTTTCAATGAGGATCCTTCTTTTACTTTCTTAGTGTCAGGCTCGAAATTTCTTGCATGATGGTAGCAGACACAAAACCAAAACTAAACTGCATTCACAACAGCCTTGTCAAAGCCAGCCTAGCTTGTGTTTCGTGTCACTTTTGATTCGTGTGCATTCGCCTTACCCTGAGGCGTCGTTTCAATAGTATGGAGGTCCACGGGGAGGCAGATGGGTGCTTAAGCGTGCCCTCAATTATTCTAAAAAAATTGGAGGATGCTTGATCTTTGCCTTCAATAGCAGAACATGGTAGCGTCTATGGGAACCATGAACATCGCCTTCTGAAGTGCTCGCCTGATCAACTACTTCTAGCGCGAAATTCCTTTGACAACAAAAAGAACAAACAAGGAAGGTGCTACTATTTGTGTCTCTTTGTCCGTTGCTTAGGAAATTTCACGCATGTAGTAGTTGATCATGGATTGATTGATTGAGTGATTCTAGAAAGGGGAGAAAAAGGCCCCTTATTTCTGTCTGCCTCTTGGGCGAGATGGCGCAGTGCCATGTAGGGGAAGGGGAATGAGAGAGGATCGGGGCCATAGAAGCGTGTATATTTGTAGAAGGTCGAGGCGTGTTCGACATGGCCGGAGCGGCAAACAGGCGGCAGCAAGGGCAAGGGATCGAACACGCACCACACTATGCTGGCCTTCATAGGTTCCCGGTGCATGCCTCAACCAGGCCGTAATAAAACAAACGTCTGTTCGCGCACCATAGACCGCCTCAACTTATCACTGAATGCCTGTTGCAGGCACAGTTAAGTGCCTACTACCCAAGGTCCTGCTACCCGTCCGTCGGCCAACACGCGAACCAACGCAGCTGTTCACTTTCTTGACGGTGCTACTGCTACTAATGATTAAGTATGTCTTGGCGCTTTGCAGCGGCTGGGCCTTATAAACATTCACTCGCTGCTGAATTCCCATCTTTTGACGCCTGGTGGAGTTTGACACTTCTGCGCAATATAATTGCACGCTCCTTTATTACGCTCCTTTCTTATTTCACTTTAGCTCTACAACGACTGTGAGCAATGCTCAACGCAAACTGCACCTTCACTGTTCGAGAAACTTCACGATTGTAGTAGATCTCTTTGTTGAGATAGCACGCAAGCTGCGAACACTCGAGTTTATTTCAGAGCTTGCGCGATTAGCATTGATTATACTCGAAGTTCCATGCGTGAAGCATATACGGCGGCACGTTCCAACGGTGATAATTTTTATCGACGACAGACGCTCGGTGCACTAATATTATTGCACAGGGTTCATTGCTTGCTGTAAATTCACTTTCCGCTACGGGGCCACAAGTTCAGCCAAATAAAGAGTTTCACCTTGAAGAAGCCTATTGCTGCCTTCGTTCGTCTACGTCACGATCTCGTGACATTATTATGCGTCGAGGAGGTGCCTGCCACTACAAGAAATTCATCTAGTTTTTTTCTTGTTGATGATGCTTTTAAAAGCAGTTCAAAAATATTGTGGGGGTTTGTAAGAACGCATGCTTTCCACACATACGTACTAGGTTCGATCCTCACTCATACCCAAACATTTTATTATTTATCTATTTGTTATTTTATTTGCATCCTAATATTTCAGTTACAGAAAAGACTATTTTTTGCTTACAACCAACGACCTCCACGCCAACACCGAAATTTGTGAAGCAAACTTGTTAACGCTGTCGCGTTAAGCTAGGTGTCGTCGTGCAAGTGCCAAGATGTAAGTGCCGAGCTATGTGTCGTTATGCACGATACGTAGGTTGGCACTTGCAGCTTGCATTGGTGGCAGAATGGTCACGTTACTTAGTTTAGATTTCGTTGTTTCTTACTTTATTATGTCAAATGTCTAGAATGAAACTTTTAATAGTTTTATATATTATATCTACGGTATTACATCCCAAAGCCATAAGAATATGAGAGACGCCGTATTAGAGGGCTCCGTCAATTTTGACCATTTAGTGTTCTTTAACGTGCACAGACCTCCTACCTCGCCGCAGCCGGGTCGAAGCCACGACCTTTGGGTCAACACCCGATCACCGTAGCCACTGTTCCACCGAGGCGGACCTTTTCCGCGCCGGGTAGCACAAAATGTTGGCACTGACGCCACCGTCGCCACGGTGGATTTACGAAAGTGCATATAAAAGTGCGGCCCAGAGGTTTTATACTGCGACGCGTGAGCTCTCTACGTTTTGTCTTTACACAGTTTAACCGATTCATTGCACCTATTAGTTGACCCAGCGTCCACATTGCCAATTTCTCGGTCTTGTCTAGGCTGCGGTTAAAACTAAAATTTGGGCTACTTGATTTTGTATTGCACGCGTAATATAGCTAATGAAACAATGATACATAAGTATGCACACAGGATGACTGCTATACGAAATCAATATAGCACTCATCCTGTGTGCATCTTTATGTGTCGTTGTTTTATTCAGCTCAGAGAGCTCCCGCGTCACGGTAGAAAACTTCTGGGGCGCACTTTCAAATGTACTTTCGTTGATCCACCGTGGCGACGTTGACGTCGATGCCAACATTTTGTGCTACTTGACACATAGCCAAATGAAATAGTTCACACAAATTGCACTTCGTTTCGAATGTCACGTTGTAAGAGAAAGTCGACGACGAAAAAATGCTTGTCATCATCTTGATGTCATCACCTTTGTCGTCGTTTATTGCGCGTCCTAATTGTCATGTCATGAGAGAATTACTGCTACTGTATTCGAACAATTCAGACGTGAAGAAGGTAGTGCACCAGTTCCAATATTATGAACTGATTCACGTTTCTTACCTGGTCGTTTTATAGCTGAGCTAACTCTCACTTCAGTATATACATCATACCACAAACGAACACAGATTACAACGTCTGTGTTGCCTTGGCTGCGCAGGTCTATGCCGACACTGGTGGACGGTACCTCCTGGCCGGTGATTCACAACGGGTCCTATGACGAGACTGTGCTACTAAAGCACGCTGGATATAATCACAGCAGCGCGGGCCGCGACTGCCTCGTGGCGGACAGCATTATAGAATTTATACGAGAGTGGCCCACCAGCGTGTCAAAGCGGGCCGTGGCAGCATTCATTGACCGACGATGAGACCTTATGGATGGCTGACGAACTTGACCGTTTGTACACGCGACATCGTCTTGCCTTCATGTTGTTTCGCATTATTATGGGAATAAACCACGAATGAAATTATCTGGTGGTTACTATGTCCTATGTGGCTTAACTTCAAGGCGTAGCCATAAAACATCATGTACTTTCATTCCGTGCTAGCGAAAACCAATGGCTACAATGATATTGTTACAATCCGGGATGACCGAGAAGGAATGCTCCGTTGACGCGACGAAGACGACTATTGCAATAGCTAGCGCTCGCGTTGTTCGCGTGCCGCCATCTTGGCTGCAGGACTCCCCGTTAACATTGTCAAGACATTTATTTCCTTCGTTCTTTATTTCGGATATGCTCACTGCCGTGAGAATATATAGAACGTAAACAAGCCTGAAATGATCTGCTATATAGGCGCCAACAAGACGTGTACGTAGAATCAAATTATGGACGTGACAACTGATGCGATATACGGGTGTGGTATGAGAAGTGACCATGGTTTCAAGACGAGTGAAACTGTGATTACCATGATTGAAAACAAGAATGAAAAAAACCGCCAGGCCTGCGCGGAAGGCACAGCACAGTCACAGCAAAAGCATCAATATAGTGGTCTTTCTAGAGGTTGTTTGCGATTTTACACTGTTGGGGCAACAACCACAGCCGCACTTGCATGTTGACCTCTGAGTCATAAATCATAAATTTTGTATAGTAGGGAAGCGTCTACTAAGCCATTATTCAACACACTTGCAAGGTACTGAATGTATTTTGTTGACGATGCGGCTGACGACGATGATTGTGCCTGAGGCTTTTGCACTGGGTGGAGCATTTAGCATGCAATCGGTTATGTAGTTCGCATTCTGTTATGCCTCTTTTTACTTTAGTGTTCTGAAAC